AAATTAATACACCTGTGTAGTACAAAACCCTACCAAGATATACACATCACCACCCTAGAAAGTTCCCTCATCCTCTTCTCAACCCCGACACCCAACTCCCAGACAATCTAGAACTGACTTCTTTCACCAGAGATTAGTTTTGCCTGTTCTACAACACCTTATAAATGGAACCACACAGCTCTTTTGCTTAAGGCTACTTCCAGCTCTCAGGCTAAATCTGGCCAAAAAATCGGCCAAATACGAATAATTTTTACATGTGGTTTTCCTTTTCAATCTTGTGGACCATGACTTTCTGCTTCTATCTATGTTTCAAGAGTGTTGATTTTTAAAAGTATTCGAAAAATCAGTCTTTCAAATAAAAATAGGACACTTTCTAGCCTAACTTCTAGTCATGAGTTGGTAAAAAGCTCCTACAGAGGTTAGCAAAAAACCACCTAAGGGCCAAATCCAGGTCAAAGCCTGTTTTGTAAACAAAGTTTTCTTGGAACATAGCCATACCTACTCCTTTGGGTGATGTTCTATTGCTGTTTTCATGTTATAATGGCAGAGTTGAGTGGTTATGACACCTGCATATTTTAGGCCTACAAAGCCTAAAATATTAATATCTACCTTTTTACAGAAAAAGTTTACTGACCCCTGTTTTACTGGATGTCATACTGGCACTGAAATTTTTATTACCTATCCTATATAAAAAGTAACTCACCTTGGACATATGGCTAGCTTATAAGGGTCTTTCCTTGAGAAACTAGGATTTGCCATCATTCTACAACCTTAAGAAAGTCTCAAAAATTAAACAACCCAGAATCGGTGCTCAGAATCAGGTGTAAAGATAATGCTGCGCTCTTACTAGGTCTAGCATAACTAAATATTTGACAGGGAAAGGGGGTTAGCATTGGTAGAAAAGACATTTGTTGGTTGCCTCTCTATCCCCCGCTTCTTTTCAATGTTTTCCAAGGCAAGCATATCTTAGGAGAAACTGTGCAGGGAGTATTTAAGAGACTTTCTGTTCCATGGATAGGATGGTGAAAGGACATGAAGTCCAGGACAGGAGAGGCCACCATGCCACCAAAAGGGAAGCCTAGATCTAGGAGTTTGGAAACAGTAAGGACAATGAGTAGGTGTGCCTGAGTGCTCAGTCGTGCCGACTCTTTGGGACTCCATGGAGGTCACCAGGCTCCTGTGTCCATGGGATTTTCCAGGCAAGAATATAGGAGTAGGTTGCCATTTCCTCCTCCAGGGAATCTTTCCAACCCAGGGATCGAACCCACGTCTTCTGCATTGGCATGTGGATTCTCTACCACTCAGCCACCTGGAAAACCCCAACTTGTAGGCAGCCTAAGGTTAAAGCTGATTTTACATCACTTCTCAGGGTAGAGTCACAGAAAGCCTACTGGGTCAAGATTTCCATGAAACTAGCACCACCTCTTGAGCTTTCATTTACGTAAGTCAACACATAAGTTTATTATGTGAACCTGGTTATGTTGGATTGGGGCTCATTTCCAACCAAAAAAAAAAAAAATCCTCTGGTTATGAAAGACCAAGTATTTATATTCTTGAACCGACAATGAGTACTAGGGCATGGTTACTGCTCCTATACCAGGAACACTGGTGACTCTTGTTGAACCTCATGCCAAGAGTTCTGAAGCAAATAAGGAAACAGCCACAAGGGAATATGGATAGAGAGAACCAATCAACAGACCCATGCTGCCGGAAAATCATAACATGAAAAGATCTGCTTTGACATTGATTACCGGAAGCTCCATCATGTATCTAAATTCACACATTTGTCTGCTCATGTTTCAGATAATCACAAATCCACCCCTTCTCATACTCACGTCCAGCTTCCTCAAGTTGAAGATAGTAGGACTTGTGCTCATTCTTCATTATGTCTATAATTAATAAGCAGTATGTTTGGACCCTTCTCCATTGGTTATTTATCAATATTATAAGTCTCAATGGTTCTTTCTGGCCTACTATTTGATAATGGAGCTTGGGGCTACTGCCTCTTGGTACAAGAAAGAGAGCCAAGAGGCAAAAAATATTTCTGTAGCCATATATATTTTTTCCAAAATGGAAAGATTTTTAAAAATTTGTAAGACCAAAGAATATCATAAAAATGTTAAAAAAAAAAGGTTCACATATTTTAAGGTAAAAGGTATCTTGTTTCCTGCCTTACCAATAATCACATAATCTAATACCCTAGAGATAATCACTGTTAATATCCTTGCAGACTTTGAAAATGCATTATTTCCTGTGTGGAAATGGGACCATGCTATGTTGATTTCCTATTCTGACCTCTGGACATCTTTTCTTTAATATAAATCTAGCTTATCTTTCCAATTGCAAAGTAATCTACTATATGAAAGTACCTAACTTATCTGCCAACTGACTACTTATAGACATTTTGATTTTTGTTTTTCACAATGACAGCATTCCTATAATAAACATCCTCACATGACAAAAGATAGATGTGTATGTACTTTGATAAAACAATTTTTCAGACAAGGAACTGCTGGATCAAAGGGAATGCATATTTAAAATTTCGAACAAACAGCAAAAGACAAACCAATGAATACCATGACTCCATTTTAGAGTGAAAAAGAAATCACCTAAGTTGAGTACACATACATGAAGAAGCATGGAACACTAATTTTCAACCACCAACAACTCTGTCCTCCAGAGGACATTTGAAAATGTCTAGAGTCAGTTTTGGTTGTCACAAATGGGAAGGTGCCAGTGTCTAGTGGGAAGGCAAGATGATGCAAAACAACAGCCCTCCCACAATCAAGAATTATCTGGCCCAGGAGGTCAATAGCACTCAGAGTGAAAAACCCTGGGTCGGGATTATATCTCACACTCTCCAAAACAGTTTTCTGTGAAGAGTGGAGCACAATAATCATTTATACTTTTGTACTGTTTGTGGTTTTTGTTCTGTTTGTGGTTTTTGTTTTGCTGTGCAATGAACATGCACTTGTTTAAAAAACACTTTCATGAATGAAAGTTCATTCTTGTATTGATATAAAAATCCTCTCTGTGCCTTCTCATATTGATTCTATACCTTAGGGACAAATTCTGAAAGACTTAAAACAAGACTCACTGAATTTTCTCTGCAGCCAACTGATAGCAGAAAGTTCTTTTGAATGCTCTTCCTAGGAATCAGTTTCAAGTCACTTCACCAATCTGACTGCTATACCTATTAAGAACAAAGTGCTAAGTACTGATTCCCAAGTTCCAGTTTTGCACTCTGATTGGTGAAGAGTGAATTTATCATTCTCCCTCATTGTGCAAACAATGGCTCATATTCAGCTTATTAAAACATTCAGTTTTTCCACACATGCTGCAGCTGACTTATATTGCCCCATCCTGTACTTTTATATTGCTTTTTAAGTCTAAATCCAAGAAACTAAGACACCTGATTAACTCTCCTTAATACCCTAAGGAATGTAGGGTAGCACTGCCCTAAGGAGAGTTTTCTAAACATTAGAAAACAATTAAGTTACAATTAAGTTTTAGTCAGGAACAAACATTCTCACCACCTGCCCTATGCACTTAAAAATCACCTAACAGGGTATGCTATTTTAGATTCTTGTTAATGTCACTCAATTCAACAAACATCTAATCAGAGCTGAGGACACCGTACTAATCAATGAGATCAATAAAAGAAAGAAGTGAACTGGTCAGAAGATTTTATGGCCAACAGCCATTTCCTGGGGTTACCTCAATGAAGGAATCCCTTGTCCAGATTACCAAATATTCACTGACTTATATGTAGCACTACATATACAGCTGCGTTTTATAAAGAAAGCTTGGGTGCTACTTATTCCTGCACTCTTTCAATTCTTTACACATTTTGGGGTCCAAACTGAGGCTCAGTAAATGTTTAACGAGTAGAAGCACCGTACTATCCCCATTACAGACAACATACTGCAGGTAATCAGTAATACTGATTTTGAAGCTGCAACTCCAGTACTTTGGCCACCTGATGCGAAGAGCTGACTCACTTGAAAAGACCCTCATGCTGGGAAAGACTGAGGGCAGGAGAAGGGGACGACAGAGAATGAGATGGTTGAGGCATCACCGACTCAATGGACATGGGTTTGGGTAGACTCCGGGAGTTGGTGATGGACAGGGAGGCCTGGTGTGCCGCGGTTCATGGGGTCGCAGAGAGTCGGACAGGACTGAGCTGAACTGAACTGCAGGTAAACACCTGTAATAAGGCTTTTACTCCTCAGATCGTTGAAAACAATAGGTAGCAATAACTCAAACGTACCCAAAACAAAACTGTATTCATGAAGACATAAAGCACACACGGGAGGCTTAGGTAACTCTTTACTTCTGAATAATATTATACATTAGAGAGACAGAAAAATTCAAGAATGCACACTGAAGATGAAGAAACGGTGAAAACATTAAATTCCAAAACAATGAAAATTACAATTCTCCCACGAACACCGGCACACTCCCACGTCGTTTCCACCTCGCGGGGGAGAAGGCTCACGCACAAAAGGCGGCGGGGGGTTCCCAAGTACAGAACCTCCTCAAAAACCCGGCAGGGCTCAGCAGCCACGCCACGCCCCCGCATGGGCCCACTCACTCAGCTGCCCGCCGGGCGGGCAACAGTCCGCAGGCCTGCGCCCCGACGCCGCTGGGCACAGGGCTTGGGAGACAGACGAGGGAAGGGGGAGGCAGGTGGGCGGGGAACAAGCCCAGCCCGACACCGCAAAGCACTAGCCTACGAGACAACGGATGACCTGCAACCCCGAGCTCCTAACTGCGCGTCCAAGGGTCCCGAGACTGGGCCTCCGCGGGTCCAGCCGGCCGCCCCCCGCCCCTGCTTCAAGCCGTTAGCGCCGCGGCCCCACCCCTCGCCGCCAGGCGCGCACCGTCCTGCTTGCCCCAAGCCGCTACCCTGGGCAACTGCGGCCCGAGGATCTGTTTGCTGAATGTGGGGCCGGGGCTGCCAGCCACGCCCGGGAGGTCAAGGAGCTGGTCTTTCCTACCTGCACTTTCCTCCGCCCTGCCGTGTTCTGCCGGTGATGGGCCGCCATCTTGCATGTTGACAGTCCTACGTCACTTCCGGAAGTGGCCAGGACCGGCCGGATGTCCCGCCTCTTCCCGTTCGGCCAAGGCCTGGTGGTGTTCACCTCAAGGGCTGCTTGAAACTGAGGCTGGTGTCCCAGTGGAAGCCCTGTGGTATGAGAGAAACACGTAAAAACCGTTGCGTGCATATAATGCTGCCGGAGAGAGAGCCATTTTGTGAGCCGAGGAAGCTGTCCGAAACTAGCTCTGTGTGGGCCTGCACCCTGGCTCGCACTGTTCTCCAGTGTCTCCTCAGGCCCAAGTAGAAGAAAAATGCTGACAGAATTAATGCTGGGAATGGGGCATTTGATGGCACCTCTACCCCTTTCAAACGTTTGTTGGCAGCTAGGGGATCCGATATATTTACCATGAAGTACCTTAAAGGGCGGAGAAGTATACACTGCCCTGGAAGGAGGTGAAGTAGAAGGTTTGGCAAAGAAGGTCGCCCCATCTTCAGGAGGTGCCAAGTATCTGATTAAATAAGAGAGAGGGAGTTCCCTGGTGGTCTGTTGAGGCAGTCTGAGCACTGGTTGGGAAAGAATTTCCAGACGCAGAGCATTTCAGGAACAGAGTGAGTTTGTTAAGAACAAAGAGCAGAGATAACATAGGCACTGTTTATGCAGAGGGGCTGACCTCCTGACAGACCAGGGAAAGCTGGCAGTTTTTGTGGGTTAATAGCCAATTTTTATGGAAAAGGCAATGGCACCCCACTCCAGTACTCTTGCCTGGAAAATCCCATGGATGGAGGAGCTTGGTAGGCTGCAGTCCATGGGGTCACCAAGAGTCAGACACAATTGAGTGACCTCCCTTTCACTTTTCACTTTCATGCATTGGAGAAGGAAATAGCAACTCACTCCAGTATTCTTGCCTGGAGAATCCCAGGGATGAGGGAGCCTGGTGGGCTGCCGTCGAGGGGGTCGCACAGAGTCAGACACAACTGAAGTGACTTAGCAACCAATGTTTATAGTCTCTAGACAAAAGTCCTGCTGGATGGTTGGAGTTATTAGGTGATTGGTTGGGGCCCTGTAGGGTATTTACTCGAGTGGGCATCTTTGCTTAATTGGGAGTCAGGAGGCTTGTTAGTGATTATCAGGAGCTTTTGGCAGTAGTTACAAAGGGGCTCAGTCAGCTTCTGCGGTAACCTTAGTTCTGGGCTCTGCTTCTGTGGCCTTGGGGCAGGTAGGCCTCAACCTGGTCCAATGGTTGGGACTCAGGGCTTTCACTGCTGAGGCCCAGGTTTGATCCCTGGTGGGGAACTAAGATTCTGCAAGCCATGAGGCTGGAGAGAGAGAGAGAGAAAGAGAAATTGTCATAAGAAGGCAAAGAAATACACTATTTAAAATTGTTCCCAGCAACAACAAAGTTCCAAATCCTGAAGGAACTGGGCCTCACACTAATATCTGGTATAAACCATCTCTTATTCTGGGACAGTTAGACCTTTCTGACTGAACATTTGACCTGAGGGAATTCTCCTGACACTCACTATAAGTCTTTGGTAATAATTCATCATACAAGGCTAATTATTTGGCCAGTTAGTTGGTCAAGGACATGAAAAGAGCATGATTGGAGAACTGATGACAGGGAAGACTTGGGATGGAATATGGTGATAGACTTTGCAGAATGAATGTCAAGAATCATCTGGATGAAATGAACCACTTTGTGGATGAAACTTAGCCTCCTTTTCCAGGCTCGGTGGTTGTTCATTGGACTCATGAATGAAATGGCAGTGATGACAAGGTTAGAGCTATGCATGGGATCACCAAGCCACTGCTGAGTGTTCAGTTTGCTAGGAGCAGATACCAGTCCTGAGGTGGTGATAGACCTCATGCTCCAGGAAGACCAGTCAACCACTTGGAGGCAAGTAGATTTCATTGGCCCTTCCCACCACTGAGGAAGCGATACTTGTTTGTCCTTTCTGAAATACACTTACTTTAAGTTTAAATACGCTTGTCATACTGAAGACCTAGTTATGGTGCTTTCTGGGAAACAACCCTTTTTGATGCTATGTTATAGGATGAAGTGTATGCTTTGAACTAGTGTCCAATATTTGGCACTCTTTTTTTCTTGTTACCCATTTCTGTATAACTACCCTAAAACTTAGTTGTTTAAAACATATTCAAATTTACTTTGCTTACAGATTTGTGATTTGTAACTTTTGTAGAGCTCAGTGGAGACAGCTTATCTGTGTTCCATTTTCCACTTGATGCCAGTTGGGGCAGCAATAAGTTGGGAGCTGGAATCATCTAAAGGCCCACTCCTTTACATGTCTGGTGACTGATGTTGAGTCTGTGGCCAGTACACCTACTCACGGCCTTTCCACAGTGCTGTTTGGTTTCTCACAACATAGTAGCTGGTTTCCAAGGGCAAGCTTCCCAAGAGAGAGAAATCCAGGTAGGAACTGTAATGCCTTTTCTAAACTAACAGTGGAAGTCATGATTCCACTGTAGTGACTTCAAAGCACATTTGGTTCATAGAACTTAATTGCTAAGGCTGTTTATATCTAAAAAGTTAAAAAATTTTTAATTCATTTATTTTTAATCGAAGGATAATTGTTTTACAATATTATGTTTGTTTCTGCCACACATCAACATGAATCAGCCATAGGTATAAATATGTCCCCTCTCTCCTGATCCTCTCTCCCACCTCCTACCCCAGCCTACTCCTCTAGGGTGTCATGAGCACTGATTTGAACTCCTTGGAGACTCCTTTTTCAAATGGAAGAAATGTCAAGGAATCTGTGGATATGTTTTAAAACCACTACATTTCCAAAGCCAAAATTAGTGAGTTTAGGAACAAAGTGATGTTATACCTAATGGACCCCATTTACAATTGTTTTTTAACTGCCATTCTCTGAGAGTCTGAGCTTTGTTGGTTTAGAGGTTGTTTTTTTTTTTTTTTTTAACCAAAGAAAGGAATTCTTCCAACAAGACTGAACAATGGTTCCACTGATTTGGAGCTGGGACGGCCACCTAGTCATTTTGCATGTCTTGTGTCACTGAATAGGCAAGAGAAGAAGAACAAATTTAGGGTTTTGGTGGCAGTAATTAATCTTGGTATTGAAGCAAAAGTAGGTTTGCTGGTATAAAACAGATAGGTCCATCAAAGACTCAGATCTCTTAGAAATGAAGGTACTGGTTGAAGGTAAAGGAAAAATAGAATGGCTAGTGGAAAAAGAAAGTCATAAAGAGAAGTGAAGTTCTCATAGTCAGGGGAAGAAACGAGAGCAGTTATCTTTCCTTTCCTTTCTTGGTGTATGCTGTATACTTTTTTAAAAATTTAATTTTTGGCTGCATTCTGATTCAGGTAGGATCTTAGTCACCTGACCAGGGATGGAGTCCGTGTTCCCTGCATTGGAAGGTATAGTCTTAACCTTTGGACTACAGGGGAAGTCCTTGATGTATACTTTTATGTGTTTTAACTTTTCTTTCTTTACCCTTTACTTCATTATTATATATGAGGTGTGATATTGTTGGTAAACTTCATTATTTAGTATATCGTAGAGGAATAGATAGCAACTAGAGATTCTAGACTTAGAAATGGATGTAGTAACTGATGAAACATTGGGTTGACTCTTTTGAAGAGTGACAGAGTGAGTGCATCCTTGCCTGTGTTAAGAATAGTTGCAGTATTTTAAATAGCCACCTTTTTTGAAGTATAATCATTGAAAACAATGGTTATTTGGTGTAGAGCAGCCAAAGTGATGACTTTACATTTGATAGTTTTGTGGCTTTATTTTTTGCTGTCCATCATTTGAGTTTTCGTTCTGTGTCTGAGGAATTCCCCACTGTGTGTCTTGGTGGTAGTGAGCACTGCTTACAGAAAGTGAGAAAGACAGTTACTCAGTTTTTCTAGACATCTTGTAGCAAGAGTGTGTGCATGGGAACTCAGCTTGATTAATCAGATGACATCTTGACTGCAACTTGATGAGAATTTCTGAGCCAGCACTATTCAGCTAAACTCCCAAATTCTTCCCACTACAGAAACTCTGTGAGATAATAAATATTTGTTGTTGTGGGATAATTTGTTTTGCAGCAATAGATAACTAATATACTCTCCCTTCTCCATGAGCAGGGGAAGTGTCACAGAACTTTCACAACTTTACAAAGATATATTCACCATAAGCTTTATCACTCACCATTTACTTTTTTGTCTTCTGTTGTGTAACTGCCAGGAGGCTTATCCTGGCAGAATTCCCTTATCAATCTCAGAATTTTCTACATAGGAAGATTGGCACCTTTATACAAAATGTAAGAAGCCTTGACACCTACTATTATTGTTCTTAGATTTTGAGACCTCTGTTTAAGCTCCTAGACAACATGAAAACTTTAACATCCTGAAAAAAAAAACTACCTTAGGATTAAATAAAAATACAATCCATTAATAAAAAGTAAAAGAGTTCTAGAAAGCTTCTATTTCCAAATAAACCACATTTGTTAAATCTTGCTTTGGAGGTTGACCCTTCCCTCTGTCAAGTTACTTAAGCAAGTTAATTAACTTCTTATAGCTTCAATTTTTAAAAAATCTGTTAAGTGGAATAACAACAGTACTATTTCATATAGTTCTTATGAAATAATCTTCACACAGTACCTGGTAGGTAGGAAATATTCAGTATACTTTAGGTATTATTTTTAATCATCACCTTGCTCAGGAAACTATGCCAAAGTGTTATAATAACATTACCAAAGTGTTGTAATTTCCTAGGATAGATTTTTATGTAATGTAGGCTGTATCACTTTTTAAAATTTTCAAACAAGCTTGAACTATAATCTTTCGTTCTTATCTACTTTCTTATTTTCAACAGCCTGGAAAAAGATTCATGAAATGATAAGGCCTTTTTACAGATTTGTCCACAAGCTTAAATGCATGTTCTCTGGCTCCATAGTCCATTTACTGGAGGAAGTGAAGGTGACCAGGTATGTCTTTTTTTATTTTTTTTTTAAAGTCCAGGTCTTTATTTTTACACCCTTCAGGCCATGAATTCACAGGGAATGGGTTCCAACAGTTCAGGTTCCTTTCCATTGGTCCTCACAAAGTGTGCTTCTCTGGGTGGAGCAGGCTGGCACTTCAGCTGAACCCAAGTCCCTCTCTCTTTGGCTTTCTTCTTTTTTTTTTTCCATTTATTTTTATTAGTTGGAGGCTAATTACTTTACATCATTGCAGTGGTTTTTGTCATACATTGAAATGGATTAGCCATGGATTTACATGTACTCCCCCATCCCGGTCCCCCCTCCCACCTCCCTCTCCACCCGATCCCTCTGGGTCTTCCCAGTGCACCAGGCCCGAGCACTTGTCTCATGCACCCAACCTGGGCTGGTGATCTGTTTCACCCTAGATAATATACATGTTTCGATGCTGTTCTCTTGAAACATCCCACCCTTGCCTTCTCCCAGAGTCCACAAGTCCGTTCTATACATCTGAGTCTCTTTTTCTGTTTTGCATATAGGGTTATTGTTACCATCTTTCTAAATTCCATATATATGGGTTAGTATACTGTAATGGTCTTTATCTTTCTGGCTTACTTCGCTCTGTATAATGGGCTCCAGTTTCATCCATCTCATTAGAACTGATTCAAATGAATTCTTTTTAATGGCTGAGTAATATTCCATGATGTATATGTACCACAGCTTCCTCATCCATTGGTCTGCTGATGGGCATCTAGGTTGCTTCCATGTCCTGGCTATTATAAACAGTGCTGCGATGAACATTGGGGTACACGTGTCTCTTTCAGATCTGGTTTCCTTGGTGTGTATGCCCAGAAGTGGGATTGCTGGGTCATATGGCAGTTCTATTTCCAGCTTTTTAAGAAATCTCCACACTGTTTTCCATAGTGGCTGTACTAATTTGCATTCCCACCAACAGTGTAAGAGGGTTCCCTTTTCTCCACACCCTCTCCAGCATTTATTGCTTGTAGACTTTTGGATAGCAGCCATCCTGACTGGCGTGTAATGGTACCTCATTGTGGTTTTGATTTGCATTTCTCTGATAATGAGTGATGTTGAGCATCTTTTCATGTGTTTGTTAGCCATCTGTATGTCTTCCTTGGAGAAATGTCTGTTTAGTTCTTTGGCCCATTTTTTGATTGGGTCATTTATTTTTCTGGAGTTGAGCTGGAGGAGTTGCTTGTATATTTTTGAGATTAATCCTTTGTCTGTTGCTTCGTTTGCTATTATTTTCTCCCAATCTGAGGGCTGTCTTTTCACCTTGCTTATAGTTTCCTTTGTTGTGCAAAAGCTTTTAAGTTTCATTAGGTCCCATTTGTTTATTTTTGCTTTTGTTTCTAAAATTCTGGGATGTGGGTCATAGAGGATCCTGCTGTGATTTATGTCGGAGAGTGTCTTGCCTATGTTCTCCTCTAGGAGTGGCTTCCTTCTTTTTCTGATCATTTTCCTTCACACGTTTTAGGAAGCTATCTCGGCTCTTAGAGTGCTTAATATGCTCGATACGCACATTAATTCTCTTGGCAAGTATCTTGCCCTTAACTTGTCTGTTTACAATGATGCCAACAGCATGCTGGGTAACATTGTAGACTCTCCCAGTTTTGCCATGGTAACATTTGTGGGGCATTCCTTTTTGAACAGTACCCATTCCCTTGATATCTACAATATCACCCTTCTTGTAGATTCGCATGTATGTGGCCAAAGGAACAACTCCATGTTTTCTAAAAGGCCTAGAGAACATGTAGCGGGTGCCCCTCCTCTTTCCCTTTGTGTTGGTCATTTTGGCGAATTACTGGAAGATGGCGGTTCCCCAGGTATGTCTTTAAACCATGCCCCAGCCTTCTTACTGTCATCAGGAGATAGACATGAATGTTTTCTTTTTTTTTGTTTTAATTGTTTTAGAGAAATTAATGTGTTTTGAAAACGTGTTTAAAGACACATGATCATGAGTGCCTTGGTTTGCAGCTACTATTGTCTGCTAGTGCTTATTGCATTAATGTGGATATTTTAAAGATGAATTTTAAAAAGAATAGAACTTCAGCCCTCATGCAGTTAATGCAGAAGTACCTAATAAACTTTTTAATGTAAACCTGTCATTATATCAACCAGATTCATGGAGAAAGTGAGAAGTGTCATTATTTCCTTATAATTGTTTAATGTTTCTTTAAAAGAAGGCTTCCCTAAAGAAATAGGGTGTCATGATAGACTACAAGGTCGTAATTAAACAAATATGCATAAGTGAAACAATATTATATAAGTAAACATAGAGACTCAGAATGTTTACAATATGTCAGAAGTTGTAGGTTTATGTCAAATGTTGTAGGTTAGTTTAGATTGTAGATTGTCAGCAAATCCTCAGTTTTAATTAGTCTTAGAAGCCATGGTACTAAGTAGCTCATTATTCAACATTAACATATTTCTAAACACACTAGGAAAAAAGTATCTTTTAGTTTTTTTCTTCTTTTTTTCTGTCTATATTTTTACATGCCAATATTAGAAACAGAAACCAGTCTCTTCTTTCCAAAAATGTTTGACCTCATCTGGCTTTCCCACTGGAGGGCAGCAGAGAACCATCCAGTCCATCCCTGATTTTCAGTCTCACTGGCTTTAATGTGACAAATCAGACCTTAAAATCCTTGATACTTATTTCCTACCGATAAAATGTCATAATCAAAGTACATTTTCAGAAAGCCTGTTCACTCCCATAAAAAACCATAATTGATTGTTAGAATAAAAGGAAATAAAGCAAAATTTATGCAGTTATATGTATTTATTAAATAAACAAAAAAAACTACATCATAAATATGCTTTTTTTGTGGTGGGATTTTTGTACAGGAACTAAACTGGCTAAGGCTTCTTAAAATCCTAGTCCAAAAAAGTAAAGTGGATGTGACTCTTACTCCAAAATTCTGATATATAAGTATATCATATTCGATTATTGAAATTATTTATAGTTCTGAGGTCCCAGACAGCCAAAATGACGGAAAAAAATATCAACCTCAGTCATGGTTAAGACTCTCCTGCCTTCCTAATCCAGCATTAGGTCACTTACAAATGACCAGGGGTCATATATGGGGAGGCACCAACAATCCTCAGGCCACAATGGTTAGAACTGAAGTGCCCTGTGTCCTTTGGAAGTGTCCAGGCCTCTGTTCTTTTCCTGCATTGGGACTAACTAGGGTTTTTTGTTATAGCTAGAAATTCCAGTGCCCAGGGCCCTACCCACCTAAGATACATAGCCATCATTGACCAGGATCTCTCACCAACCGGGATACTTTCAGCATTGGTTACAGATCTTCAGGGTTTCCCAGGTGGCTCAATGGTAAATAAGCCACCCGCAGTGCAGGAGATGAAGGAGACATGGTTCGATCCTGGGGTTGGGAAGATCCCCTGAAGTGGGGCACAGCAATACACTCCAGTACTCTTACCTGGAGAATCCCATGGATGAGAGGAGCCTGGTGGGCTACAGTCCATAGGGTTGCAAAGAGTCAGACATGACTAAAGTGACCGAGCATGAACGCACAGGTCTTTACTCCTTGTGGGACCTTTCTCCAGCTTTCCTTGCCTTCTCTGCCCTACAGACAGTATGAATTTTTCCCCTGCACACCATTTCCCACCTGGATTCACAGCTTAACCTCTTCAGTGAGCTTGGGCTTTCACTAAAGGCAAGACAAGAGGTAATCGTTAAGCTTCAGGCCTGGTATTATAAACCACTCCTGAGATCAGCAAGCACTATGAACTGGCAACCATCAGCAGAAGGTGGGGGAAGGAGGGACAATAGCAGCAAAAACAAAGTACCCTCTAATGTCTCAACAAATTATCATCCATAGAAGCTGAACCCAAGACAATTCTTTTCCTGGTAATCTCACTATAGAAACCACAGGTATTCTTTATGCCTCCAAACACCTTTAAACTGCATTCAAAACTAGGGTTGTGAGTCTGGAAATCTTTCTTTGCTAATTTGTTGTACATGAATGCCTGCAGAAGCCTTTGAATGGTAAATGCTGTGGGAGGGGCAGTTTCCATGGTAACTTTTCAGTGCACCTTTTTTTCTTGCACTTCAATTAGATCTTCATTGCTGAGTGGTTGTGAATGAGAAGGTAACAGCTCAGTCACATCTGGAGGGCTGGATGAGATATGAGATCTGCAGCCTTTCTAGATGCAGCTATATTCTCAATCTACTGAGTTGTAGTATGCTTGTTTTGCTCCATCTCTTCATGGTGCCCCAGCACCGCAATGCAACACACGTGACAAAGAACCAATTTCCTTAATATACCAAGCTTACAAGTTAATATGAACAATATCAAAACACAATGGAAAAAATGAGCAAAGGGCATAGACAGGCAGCTTACAGAAAAAGAAAATTAATGGCTTAACATTGTATGAAAATGTGTTTAATCTCATTCACAATAACGGAAATACATATTTAAATAAGATTACATTTTTCACCTACCAGACTGGAAAATATCTAAAAGTTTGATAATGTACTGTGTTCAGAGAATGTGGAAAACCCATCATTTTATATACTGTTCTGTGGGAGGGTAAATTGGTTTAATCTCTTTGGAGAGTGATTTTGCAGTTTCTCTTCTAGAAATTCATCCTACAAGTGTAATTACATTTGACTTAAAAATACAGGTAAAAGGATATTTGTTGAAGCCTTGTTGAAGCAAATAACTGGGATGGATTAAATGAGTTGATGTATCTAGATAGTTACACACACTGGACAATGAGAGACAAAAATATAGTTGGGTTTTCCTCAAATGCCAGAGTTGTATGTTCAGCCTATTTGCAAAACACTGTTAAAGGATAATTCTCAAAAAAAAAAAAAAAGAAAGGAAAATCATGACTCTCATACAGACATAAAATTAACAAGTGCTAAAGATTTAATTTTGCTCAAAATGAAGGAACTCTTGTCTGAACTTAAGTTCATGTGTCTAGCACATATTGAGGTCAAACAAACCAAAAAGTTGGTTTTCGGAGCAGAGAAAGGTTTATTGTGAATCCCAAGCAAGGTGAATGGGCTGGGTGTGTTCAACAGACCTGAACTTCCCAATGACTTTCAGGCATGAGTTTTAAAAGACATTGTTGGGGGAGAGGGTGGTGAGATGCCTGATTAGCTCATGGAACTTCTTTTGACTGGTTGGTGGCAAGGTAACAGGATGATGTTTCAGGTATCTCAGCATTCTGGTCCCAGCCAGTCTGTGTTCTAGTGCTTGTGATCAGCATGTAGTCCCCAGCCTCACCTGGGTGAGGGTCTTAGTTTCTGCAGAACAGCTCAAAGATATGGATCAGATTGTTATCTATATTTCTTTCAGAAGGAACCAGGAGTCCTGTGACTCTCTTTTCCTAATCATTAACTTCTTGAGCCAGCTTTTTGGAACTTGGGGAAGGCCTGGAGACAGAAGCATTTTTCCTGCAAACAAGAAATAGGGACAGGGAAAGACTTTGTATAGAGGAGAGCTGGGCAGATGTCATAACTGGTTCAAAGGAGAAGTCAAGAAGCAAAGATTGATATGCAGTAAAGGAAGGTTGAAATGTGCAAATGAGGGATAAACTGGTTTTCAACAGGTGTGTGTGTAGGGGGGTTTGTCCTTGCACCTGACAGAATTAATTGACTTGCATGTCTATAGGTAGGAGTTATTTTGCCTTATTATCAGTTATCTATAATTTACAGAGTGGTAAAATAACTCTCATAGAAACAAAATCAGTAATGCTGCAAGGTTGACCACAGTGCATAGTTTTCCACTGAAGCCATTTTCTGTACAAGATTTAAGTGATAAATGCAAGTCTAAAAGAGTGTAAAATCCTGTGGTCCCAATTTTGTGTGTGTGTGTGTTCTTCGTTGTTCAGTCATGTCCAACTGTTTGTAATCCATGGACTGTAACCTGCCAGGTTCCTTCATCCATGGGGATTCTCCAGGCAAGAATACTGGAATGGGTTGCCATGCCTTCCTCCAGGGGATCTTCCCAACCCAGGCATCGAACCCAAGTCTTCCGCATTGCAGGAGGATTCTTTATCATCTGAGCCACCAGGGAAGCCCATGACTGAGAGTGTGTGTGTGTGTATATATATATATATACACACATATACATGACATTCAAGTATATGTACCTGAGTATGGCATTGGTGATATAGTGGTGAGCATAGCTACCTTCCAAGTATGTGTACATGTATACAAAATCCCATGGACAGAGGAGCCTGGTAGGCTGCAGCCCATGGGGTCTCGAAGAGTCAGACATGGCTGAGCGACTTCACTTTCACTTTTCACTTTTATGCATTGGAGAAGGAAATGGCAACCCACTCCAGTGTTCTTGCCTAGAGAATCCCAGGGATGGGGTCGCACAGAGTCGGACACGACTGAAGTGACTTAGCAGTAGCATACGTATCTGTGTTCACATATACATTGACTATTCCTTGATAGAGACAGAAGAGATTAATAATTGTGCCTGACACTCTAGAGAGGGACTGAAAGTTGGGAATCTGAGATGAAAGAGAAATCTAGTTTTTACTGTATATACCTTTTTATACTGCTTGAGTTTTTTTCCTTTACTTTTGCCATGAACATTTTTTCCCAAGGAAAAGGAACTTTTCCTAAGGTTCATAAACCTTACTGAGACAACTAATAAAACAATGAATTATATAGATGAAGCATTGCATAAAATACAAGGAGAAACTGATAGAAATACAATAGCCATGGGAACAGAGCCCTTAACAAACGTCTTTCAGGGCTTGGCAGTTGAATAGACAGAAAAATAAGTGAGGCTTATAATAGCAGTTTTC